GTGAGCCACCGTGCCCGGCTCTATCCAAAGTGCTGAGATGACAGGCAGGAGCCACCGTGCCAGGCTCTATCCAAAGTGCTGAGATGACAGGCAGGAGCCACCGTGCCCGGCTCTATCCAAAGTGCTGAGATGACAGGCAGGAGCCACCGTGCCAGGCTCTATCCAAAGTGCTGAGATAACAGGCGTGAGCCACCGTGCCAGGCTCTATCCAAAGTGCTGAGATGACAGGCGTGAGCCACCATGCCTGGCTCTATCCATTGTTTATCTTCTGGGCATCTAGAAAGACTTACAGGGACAAGCCCGACAGGTACTGAAAATGTGCAGAGTAGCCGCCAGCTCTAGATAAAATACATGTGCAGGCTTACTGCTGCCCCTGAACTGGTCATACGGAGGAAGAGATTTCAGGTTGTCTCCAGTCATAGCCTAAAACAAATCATTTACCGTCTGCTAAACTGCTGTTGGTTAATTGATCATGGTAGCGAGACTCCAGTGTTACCTTCTGATGCGAGGAGAAGCCAGATCTCAGTGTCTGCCTCTTTCACATTTAATTGTTGGTACCCATTTCAAACTTTAAAAATGGCTTAAAATTTAAAACCGTCTCATGGGCCAGGTCCAGGTTTGGTCCCAGATTTAAACCTCTGGCACAAAATGAGAAGATAGGGAGTTTGAAGCTGAATCAGGTGAGCAATAGGGAAACTTGGCTAGCGTATCCCACTCGCCCACCTTATTCGAGAGCTGAAAGCTGTTTTTTCATTTTTCACATCTTCTCGCATATAAATTTACAACCAGAAAAAAATCTAACACATAGCCTACAGTATTCAAAGAATACAAAAAACAAAACAAAAAACTAAGGTCACCTGGAATCCCACGTCGTTGAGTATAGCCAACATTAATAGCTAACACCTTCCGAACTTTCCAGGCGGACAGATACAAATGTGTAAAAATAAAATTGGGCCAGGTGCAGTGATGCCTGCTTGTACTTTGGGAGGCCGAGGCAGGCGGATTGCTTGAGGCTGGGAGTTCGAGACCAGCCTGGCCAACTTGGCAAGTCCTCGACTCTACAAAAAAAAAATTGCAAAAATAAGCCAGGCGTGGTGGCGCATGCCTGTAATCCCAGCTACTTGGGAGGCCGAAGTGGGAGAATTGCTTGAACTCTGGAGGCTGAGGCTGCAGTGAGACATGATCACGCCACTGCACTCCAGCCCGGATGGCAAAGCAATACCTGTATCCAAGAAAAAGGTCACACTCTCTACTATACTTAGGCCCATTTCGATTTACCAGATTTCCAGGTAAGCATTTTCAGATAAGCTTAAAAGCATCTTAAGCCGTCCCCATTCTGCGGCTCCTTCCAAAGGAGTAACAACTTATCAGTTTTCATAGATACCCTTCCAAGGTTTTTACCAATGAGTTACAATGACATATCTAGATAGAGCAATTTGAATAGAAGAAGCGGGCTGGGCGCGGTGGCTCACGCCTGTAATCCCAGCACTTTGGGAGGCCGAGGCGGGTGGATCACGAGGTCAACAGATCCAGACCATCCTGGTCAACATGGTGAACCCCTGTCTCTACTAAAAATACAAAAAATTAGCTGAGCACGGTGGCACATGCCTGTAATCCCAGCTACTCGGGAGGCTGAGGCAGGAGAATTGCCTGAACCCAGGAGGCGGAGGTTGCCGTGAGCCGAGATCGCGCCATTGCACTCCAGCCTGGGTAACAAGAGCAAGACTCTGTCTCAAAAAAAAAAAAAAAAAGCAACCTCTAATGGATACAGAAGTGAAACCGTAAGGGAGGCACAATCTATAAAAAGTGGCCAGTGGCCAGTCCCGTTAGAGAACCTGGTGCGTTGTTTTTCCTTCAGCGCACAGTGGGCAGATGCTCCTCCCGGATGAAGAGTCCACTGTTCACCTCTGTGATTTGCTCAGGTGGATACATTTCATCTTCCTGAGGGTGAGGCCATAAGCCCAGTGGAGAGTGGATGGTGACAGGCCAATGCTTCAAGTAACGCTTTCTATTCACTGCTTCCTGGACAGGGTCTGCGGTGGGAAAAGGAGACAAACCCCAAGAACGCTGTCTGCTTGATGCTGCTTAGACACTCCATTGGTTAAGAGCACAGACAGGCCAGGCGCGGTGGCTCACGCCTGTAATCCCAGCACTTTGGGAGGCCGAGGCGGGTGGATCACAAGGTCGAGAGATCGAGACCATCCTGGTCAACATGGTGAAACCCCGTCTCTACTAAAAATACAAAAAATTAGCTGGGCATGGCGGTGCGTGCCTGTAGTCCCAGCTACTCGGGAGGCTGAGGCAGGAGAATTGCCTGAACCCAGGAGGCGGAGGTTGCCGTGAGCCGAGATCGCGCCATTGCACTCCAGCCTGGGTAACAACAGCAAAACTCCGTCTCAAAAAAAAAAAAAGAGCTCAATGAGTTACCCACACTGGCGCCTGAACCCCAGTTGTGTATCTGATATGCCTTTTAATGCCAAGCGATACAGGCTCAGTATTTTAATAACTCGAGAAACAAGGGTTCATTAAACTGGTCATTCTAACAAGTAGCGGATGTGTGCAGTGAACAAGTCCAGAGATCTACAGGTATTTCTGTTAAACAAGCCTCCTTCAGCTCTTCTAGTCACACACAGAAGTAACTGTGTGGTGATGCTAATTTGCTTCTCCCACTGCAGTAACTCCCTTGTGATCTCTACGTATCCCATAACACCATGTTGTGAACCTCAAATGTCTATGACAAATCTTATTTTTAAAAGATCATGTCAAACCATACCTTCAACATGTAACTAGAATTAATATTTAACTCCTAGACATCAACTAGGTTATTAGTAGCAGTAGGTTGACAATGTGACTTCTGAATTATTTTTATCCGAATGTTCGAATTTAAAAGTCAACTGAAATGAAGGAAATTGGACTATAGATCTTTAATTTTTGTGGGTACACATCAGGTATGTATATTTATGGAGTCCATGAGATGTTCAGGCGTTCCATGTGTAATAATCATGTCATGTGAAATGGGGGATTTGCCCTTTCAAGTTTTATCCTTCGTGGTACAATCCAATTACACTTTTATTTTACGGTATATACTTACTGAGTATGTGTCGCTCCGTGCTATCAAATACTAGGTGGTTTTTTTTTTTCTGGACTCATTAACCAACCCCACCTGCACCCACCTCATCCCCTATTCCCCTTCCAGACTCTGGTAACCTTGAGTTCAGTTGTTTCCGTGGTGTTTTACGTTCCCACAAATAAGTGAAAACACGCGACGTTTGTCTTTCTGTGTGTGGCTTGTTTCACTTAAGGATGACCCGTTCCAACTACCTTGTTGTAAATGACGGGATCTCATACTTCTTATGGCCCAATAGTGCTCCATTGTCTAAAGGTACCACCCTTTCTTTATCTGCTGATGGACGCTACGGTTGCTTCCAAATCTTGGCTTTTGTGAACGCAGCTGCCACACGCACGGTACTGCAGACATCTCTTTGATAGACTTACTTCCTTCCTTTTGGGTGTATGCTCAGCAGCGGGATTGCTGGGTCATGTGGTAACTGTATTCTCAGGTTTCCAAGGAACCTCCAAACTGACCCTCACAGTGGTTTTACTGACTTACATTCCCATCAAGAGTATATGAGGGTTCCGTAGCTACCTGGTGGGGAGATACGGTGATCACGAGGGTGGTTTTCCCACAGGGAGGCTTACCCAGTGCACTCCAGATGTGCTGACCCCCGCCATCTCCCCAAATGCGGCAAGCTCCACTGCATAATTTGTGGTGACGGGGACTGCATTCACGCTTTCCCCTGGATAAAGAAAAAAAATTGTTTAAGAGTGTATGAGGGTTCCCTTTTCTCTACACCCTCTCCAGCATTTGTTCTTGTGTGTCTTTTGGATGTGAGTTATTTTAACCAGGGTGAGATGACGCCTCCTTGTAGCTCTGATGTGCATGTCTTTGATCAATATGTTGAGCACCTTTTCATATGCCTGTCTGCCACTTGTATATCTTCTTTTGAAACATGTTCGAGTCTTGTGTACATTTTTGATCCAATTATTAGACTTTTTCCTCTACAGCTGTTTGAGCTCCTTCTATATCCTGGTTACTGACTCCTTTCAGATGGGTGGTCTGCAGATACATTTCCCCATGTACGGGTTGTCTCTTCACTTTTTGATTGTATCTTTTGCTGTGTAGAAACTTCTTTTTTTTTTTTTTTTTGAGGCGGAGTTTCGCTCTTGTTACCCAGGCTGGAGTGCAATGGCACGATCTCGGCTCACCGCAACCTCCGCCTCCTGGGTTCAGGCAATTCTCCTGCCTCAGCCTCCCGAGTAGCTGGGATTACAGGCACGCACCACCATGCCCAGCTAATTTTTTATATTTTTAGTAGAGACGGGGTTTCACCATGTTGACCAGGATGGTCTCGATCTCTTGACCTCGTGATTCACCCGCCTCGGCCTCCCAAAGTGCTGGGATTACAGGCACGCGCCACCACGCCCAGCTAATTTTTGTATTTTTAGTAGAGACGGGGTTTCACCATGTTGACCAGGATGGTCTCGATCTCTTGACCTCGTGATCCACCCACCTCAGCCTCCCAAAGTCATTTCATTTATCTTGAGCAGTTCATTAAATGGTCAGGATTTAAGTAAAAATACGTGTAAACAAACCAGAAGGAAAGGTGAGTGTGCACCTGACGACTGACGGGCAGAGATGTAACAGGTTAGCTGCTTCGAGCTGAACGCGTGCCAGGAAACAGTCCCTCAACTCAAGTTATTCCCTCAAAGGAAAAGCTGGGTGTGAAACTAGCATTATAACTGAAGGCTACATAAAATGCTATGGAACCCCAAAACAGGGAGGAATATGTCCCCGATGCCAAGCGAATGAGAGGGCGCAATGCTAAAATAGATGCCGATTCCATCGTAGGGGTGAATAGGTTTTATCCAACCTTTTTCCTTTAAAGCAACACGGGCCGGGTGCAGTGGCTCATGCCTGGAATCGAAGCGCATTGAGAGGCAGAGGCAGGTGGATCACCTGAGGCCAGGAGTTTAAGATCAGCCTGGCCAACATGGTGAAACCCCCGACTTCACTAAAAATATAAAAAATTAGGCTGGGCACAGTGGCTCAAGCCTGTAATCCCAGCACTTTGGGAGGCCGAGGCGGGCGGATCACAAAGTCAGGAGATCGAGACCATCCTGGTCAGCATGGTGAAACCCCATCTCTACTAAAAATACAAAAAATTAGCTGGGCATGGTGGCACGTGCCTGTAATCCCAGCTACTTGGGAGGCTGAGGCAGGAGAATTGCCTGAACCCAGGAGGCAGAAGTTGCGGTGAGCTGAGATCGCACCATTGCACTCCAGCCTGGGCAACGAGAGCAAAACTCCGTCTCAAAAAAATATATATATATTAGCCGGGTGTGGTGGTGCACGCCTGTAGTCTCAGCTACTCGGGAGACTGGGGCAGGAGAATCGCTTGAACCCGAGAGGTGGAGGCTGCAGTGAGCCGAGACTGCACCACTGTACTCCAGCCTGGGCGACGGAGTGAGACTCTGTCTCAACAACAAAAAAAGCAACATGTTAGTAAATATCCTTGTACCTGTATCTTTATGATGAGTAGTAAGTGAAAATTTCTACCATGCTTTTCCTGTAGACATGAAAACAAGGTAAGACTGATCGTACATCTTAAACTTTTTTTTTTTTTGAGACTGAGTTTCGCTCTTGTTACCCAGGCTGGAGTGCAATGGCGCGATCTCGGCTCACCGCAACCTCCGCCTCCTGGGTTCAGGCAATTCTCCTGCCTCAGCCTCCGGAGTAGCCGGGATTACAGGCACGCGCCACCATGCCCAGCTAATTTTTGTATTTTTAGTAGAGACAGGGTTTCACCATGTTGACCAGGATGGTCTCGATCTCCTGACCTGGTGATCCACCCGCCCCGGCCTCCGAAAGTGTTGGGATTACAGGCTTGAGCCACGGCGCCCGGCCTAAACTTTTATCTTTGCATTTCTTTCTGCCATGTACCCGCTGACTTAGGCAATGTGGAAGCATGCAAAGCTCTCATGAGGAGAAAATTCACGCTGCAATGGGAAAATCAGACTCTGGGAGAATTTCACTATAAGTTTTTCTGTGACACTGCCGCGGATGTGTTCTACGTGATTCACTTGGCCTACGATCCTACCAGCCCTTACTCAGCAAGGGATCTCAACGTGTTCCTGATGGGAGAGGCGGCCTCTGGCAAAACCATGATTGTGAGAATGGCAGTGACGAGGTGGCTCAGCGGTGACATGTGGCCCAACACGATCTCGTACGTCGTTCCCCTCACTGCTCACGAAATAAACCAGATGAGCAGCCTCAGCCTGGCTGAGCTGATCGCCAAGGACTGGCCTCACCGCCAGGCTCCCGTCGCAGACATCCTGTCTGATCCCGGGCAAGTCCTTTTCATCCTGGAGGACTTGGACAACGTGAGTTTCCAGTTAAACATCGACGAACACGCTTTGTGTAGCGACAGCACCCAGAGAGTTCCGATCCCGATCCTCCTGGTCAGTTTGCTGAGGAGAAAAATGGCCCCAGGTTGCTGGTTCCTCATCTCCTCGAGGTTCACCAACGAGGGTGCCGTCAACATGTTCTGGAAAACCGCGGATATCTTCACGAGCTTGCATCTCTCTAACGGTAAGAGGGAGATCTACTTTAACTCGTTCTTCAACGACCGCCAGAAGGCTTCGGCGGCCCTCCGACTCGTTCGTGGCAACGACATGCTCTCCGGTCTGTGCCGAGTCCCCATCTTATGCTGGATCACGTGCTCTGCCCTGAGTCAGCAGAGGGACACGGGGGAGCAGGACCTCGAACTCTGCTTCCAAACCCCCACGGATCTCCATGCCCACTTTCTTGCGGGTGCCTTCACGTCGGAGGCTGGAGCTGCCGCCAGTGAGTATCACCTAAACCTCCTCAAACGTCTGTGTTCGCTGGCTGCGGGAGGCCTCTTCAAAAACACCCTACATTTCAGTCGGGAAGACTTCAGCTGTGTCGGGCTCACCGAGGCCGACGTCTCCCTGCTGCAGACCCTGAACATTGTCCTGCCAAGCAGCACTCATAAAGACTGCTGCACGTTCATCCACCTGACCCTGCAGGAGTTCTGCGCGGCCATTGCGTTCCTGATGCCAGTGCCTCCCTGCCAGCTCCCCTCGGGCGCGAGCGGGCATAAAGAGAAGAGGGAACAATACTGTAACTTTAGTCAAGTGTATTCTTTCATTTACGGCCTTCTGAATGAAAAGAGGAGAAGGATTCTGGAGACGTCCTTCGGCTTCCAGCTGCCGACGGTGGACGCCTTCAGGCAGCACTCGCTGGCATACCTGAAACACGTGGGCCGAGACGCGGAGAAGCTGACGCACCACGTGTCTCTGTTTTACTGTCTCTTTGAGAATCGGGAGGAAGAATTTGTTAAAATGACTGTGGACCCTTTGCAGGAGGTTACCGTTTACCTTGAAGCCAACAATGACATGATGGTCTCGTTATACTGCCTGGGGCACTGCCGTCACGTGCAGACCCTCAAGTTGAGTGTTCAACGCATCTTTGAAGGCAGAGAGCCAACCGTGAGGCCGACCGCTAGGTGAGTCTTAAAAAAAAAATCCTCTTTCCTGTTTTGCTGAGACCTGCCCGTAATTCTAGAGCTGGTTGACCAGAACAAGACAAACACAGGGCCATTAAACTCGATGTCCAATCTGGCGTCTGATTAGACCCGTGACGTCAGTGTCTCTGCTTCTGTTTGAACTGAAAGTTTGAGTTCCACCTCAGCGCTGTTGACCCCTTCGGCCAGCCCGTTCATTGTGGTGAGGGTTTAGCAGTATTTCTGGTCTCTCCTTCAGCCAGTAGCATTTCCTTCTCTCCGGCTGTGACAACAACAAAAATCTTTAGACATAGCCAGATGTCTGCTGGAGGGCAGAACGGCCTCGTTGTGAAGCGGTGGTTTCACCTAATTTCTTCAGATCTGTTGTATAGATTAAAGAGAAATAAACCTCGTGCTGTTACATTCCAGGACTGTTCATGATAGCACAAAACTTGTGATATGTATTTTCGGGTGGATCACGAGGTCAAGAGATCGAGACCATCCTGGTCAACATGGTGAAACCCCGTCTCTACTAAAAATACAAAAAATTAGCTGGGCATGGTGGTGCGCGCCTGTAATCCCGGCTACTCCGGAGGCTGAGACAGGAGAATTGCCCGAACCCAGGAGGTGGAGGTTGCGGTGAGCCGAGATGGCGCCATTGCACTCCAGCCTGGGTAACAACAGCGAAACTCTGTCTCAAAAAACATATATATATATTTAATCTCACATTTAAAGGCCCTGCACTCTGCTGCATCTCTCTCACCTGAATATGGAGTCACCAGCTCCTTCAGTGGGTCTGAGTACTGAGTTTTCATGGCCGACCCTACTCTATTTCTCGCTGAGTGGTCTGAAGTCGGAGTGAGCAGCAGGCACTCTCAAAAGATACCTTAATGTACACGTTTCTTAACTTGCTGGAGTTGAATGGATTCTGTTGGAAAACTCGATCTTTCTTCCCTGTAGTCAAATGAAGAGCCTTGTCTACTGGAGAGACCTCTGCTCTCTTTCTCGGACGATGGAGAATCTCCAGGAGCTGCACGTTTTCGACAGTGACCTTAACAATCTTTCAGAAAGGATCCTGTCTCAAGCCCTGGAGCATCCTAGCTGCCGACTTCGCACACTTCGGTGAGTACTGTACCGACCGCTGCCTTAGATGCTCCTCCAGGAATAACTGCCATCTCTCTTCCTTTCTCTCGGAGAAGACGATATACAAAACCTACTTTCGGGTCAGGCTCATCAGGGCCGAGGCTCCTTCTGTACTTGTCTCCCATCTTTAGTGTGTCTGTGATAAAGATGACCTTGGGCCACAGTGACGCTGAGGTCCCAGCCAACATGGCTGCCTTCAAGGCAGGAAGCAACAGAAGGGAGAAGGAAAGGTTTATCGCTAAGCTTCAGGGGCTTCCTTGAGGGAGCCTTTCCAAAACTCTGTCTTGTATCACTTCTGCTTGCATCTCACTGGTCTGTTTATCTTGTCCTCACACAGCCTCATATAACTGCAAAGTAGTCTCTTGCAAGCAGGAAGAAATAGTAACCACTGGAGTTATCTTAAGGGAGAAAGTGGAAATGGGTCAGGGTAGGCGTCTAGCCGTTTCTTTCCTAGAGAGGCGTCAGAATCAGGTGAAAAGCAGCTGCACTTGCCGAAACACTCATTGGGATAATCAGTATTTATCTGAGTTTACAGTAGCTCCACAGGGAATGTCACTAAATTATTCAGCACACATCAACATCTATGGTGTTCTTAGGATTCTGGAAGCCCAAGAGTTAGTGTTGTTTTCATTCAAGAAGAACGCCTACTTGGAAGTGCTAGTCTATCGCTTGGGATAGGGGAAAAAAGACAAATGTCCTTGCTTGGCTCTCTGATGAGACAGAATATAGGAAAACATAATAAGTGCATGCATTGTAAAGTATTTTAGGGTTAAGAGTGCTATGGGGAAACGAATGGCAAGGACAGGTGCCTAGGTGGATATTTGGGGGTGTGGAAGGGTATAGCCTGTGCCTCAGTGGATATTTGGGGGTGTGGAAGGGTATAGCCTGTGCCTAAGTGGATATTTGGGGGTGTGGAAGGGTATAGCCTGTGCCTAAGTGGATATTTGGGGGTGTGGAAGGGTATAGCCTGTAGCAATAAGTTCCACAGGGAAAGTGAGGTTTGAACAAAGACTTGAAAGAGGTGAAAGAATGAATCAAAGAAACAGCTGTTGGTCGTTCCTGGGGGGGTGGGAGAAACGGTGGAAACAAAGGCTTTGTGGTTAGACTGGCGTGAGAGGAAGGGTGCCAGTGAAGTGGCTCAGAGGTGTCCGTGGTAGGATCCTGTGTTGTAACCAGGGTTGGGACTGGGTTTTCTGGAGCGAGGTGAGGAGTTTTGAGGGGTTTTGAGCAGAGATGCCATAATTTAGCTTGCATTTTAAGAAACTCATTCTGGATACTGTGTTTAAAAATGGCCAATCCGGGAGCAAGGGCAGAATCTGAAAGCCCAGAGGAGGCTCTTTCTCGGTGTTCTCCGGGTGAAAATCAGTGGTGCTTCTGAGGATGTGAGTTGTTTTTTGCACGTGGTGTGAAGAAGGCGTTCGGTTTGTCTTCTGCATGTGACTGGTCGGTTACCCCAGCACCCGTTAGTGAAAAGGGAGCCCTTTCTCCATTGCGTGTTCTTGTCAACTTTGTTGAAGGTCACATGGTTGTAGGCGTGCGCCCGCACTTCTGGGGTCTGCGTTCTGTCCCACTGGTCTCTGTGCTCGTGTACCAGGACCATGCTGTTTCGGTGACCGTAGCCTACGTACAGCTGGAAATTGAGTAGTGTGACGCCTCCACCTTTGTTCTTTTTGCTGAAGACTGCCTTGGCTGTTGGGGCTGTCTTTCAGTTCTATATGAACTTTAAAATAGTTTTTTTCTAGTTCTGTGAAGAATGCCATTGGTAATTTGATAGGAATAGGGTTAAATCTGTAAATTTCTTTTTGTTTTTGTTTTTGTTTTTGTTTTTGAGACGGAGTTTTGCTCTTGTTACCCAGCCTGGAGTGCAATGGCGCGATCTCGGCTCACCACAACCTCTGCCTCCTGGGTTCAGGCAATTCTCCTGCCTCAGCCTCCTGAGTAGCTGGGATTACAGGCACGCACCATCATGCCCAGCTGATTTTTTGTATTTTTAGTAGAGACGGGGTTTCACCATGTTGACCAGGATGGTCTCGATCTCTTGACCTCGTGATCCACCCGCCTCGGCCTCCCAAAGTGCTGGGATTACAGGTGTGAGCCACCGCGACCAGCCGGCCATTTATTTCTGTCTCTTGCCTGATTGCTCTGGCCAGGACTGCTGAAACGGAATGATTTACATGTGCTTGGTCCTGTGGCTATACCAGCCATCAGCATATTATGTCTTTTGCTCTCAGTATAGAAGAGCATGATTAAACTTACGCATGTGGATGTACATTTTCTCAGTATCCCACTCGTGAATCCTGCTTACGAAAATCAGTAAGGTGGGCCGGGCGCGGTGGCTCATGCCTGTAATCCCAGCACTTTGAAAGGCCGAGGCGGGTGGATCACGAAGTCAAGAGATCGAGACCATCCTGGTCAACATGGTGAAACCCCGTCTCTACTAAAAATACAAAAATTAGCTGGGCATGGTGGCAGCTACTCGGGAGGCTGAGGCAGGAGAATTGCCTGAACCCAGGAGGCGGAGGTTGCGGTGAGCCGAGATTGCGCCATTGCACTCCAGCCTGGGTAACAAGAGCGAAACTCCGTCTCAAAAAAAAAAACAAAAAGAAAATCAGTAAGGTGAACACACAATAAAGAGCCAGGGATTACTTCACGGTCGACAGGCTGGCCTTGGAACTAGCAATAGTCTTTGGACCTGACTAGAAATTTAAGATGGAGAGCCATGTGTGAGGACGTAATCCACGCCCAGAATCTTTATTCTGGAATGAAGTAAAGCAGGCAGGAGACATTGCGGAGCTGTTCAGACCTTTACTGGCCCTTTCCTGCCACTCTGTCTTCTGCAGATTTTCCTATGTCTCGACGGGCACTGGTTTTGAGGACATACTCAGCGCTGTGGCTTCTAACCGGAGCCTGACCTGCCTGAGCCTCAACTGCATGTCCATTTCCCTAAACATGTTTTCACTTCTGCACGAGATCCTGACGGAGCCCACATGCCAAATAACTCATCTGAGGTGAGTCACCCACTGCATCTCAGGGAAACGGCTGGTGCTGGTGGGTGGAGGTGCCCTTTCCGTAACACTACCTGCTACCTACCTTCGATGCCACTCATTCCTCAGAGGTTTTCAGCTCATGGTTTATTTCTACCTCACCAACATGATTGCTGTCTTGATTTCAATTTCTACATTGATGTTTTATATAAAACGGCTTCCCCTTCTACTGATATTTCTGTAATGATCTAATTCCTCTGGTGTTCCTGAAGTACAGGTGACTCGTGAAACCCTAAAACAGTGTCCGTTGGAAATTATTCAAGCCACGAACTGAAATTTTCCTGCAGCCACATTAAAGAGCAGAAGGAAGCAGCTGAAACTAATTTTAACAATATCTGAACCCAGCAAATCAAATTATATCCATATGTCATTAGTACAAAAAGCTGTTGGTGTGATTTTTATATTCCTTTTTTGGGCAGAGGCTTCAGAACCCGGTATTTCACAGAGAATGTCGCCATTCCGGCACATTTTCATCAGAAATAGTTGACCTTCATATTAACTGCATAAAATTTGCAATTGAGAGAACTAATTCACGTGCCCGTGTCATAAACATACTTAAATCTTCCAATAATCTGAAATCAACCTTTAAATTTAAACTAACCAGGCCTGCTGGCTCACACCTATAATCCTGGTACTTCGGGAGGCTGAGGGGTGGATCGCTTGACGTCGGGAGTTCAAGACCAGCCTGGCCAACATGTTGAAACAAAAATTGGCCAGGCGTGGTGTCAGGCGCCTGTAATCCCAGCTACTCAGGAGGCCGAGGCAAGAGAATCAGTTGAACCTGGGAGGTGGAGGTTGCCGTGAGCTGAGATCATGCCACGGCACTCCAGCCTGGGCAACAAGAGCAAAACTCCATCTCAAAAAATGAATACAGGCTGGGCGCGGTGGCTCACGCCTATAATCCCAGTACTTTGGGAGGCTGAGGCAGGTGGATCAAGAGGTCAAGAGATGAGACCATCCTGGTCAACATGGTGAAACCCCGTCTCTACTAAAAACACAAAAAATTAGCTGGGCATGGTGGCGCGTGCCTGTAATCCCAGCTACTCGGGAGGCTGAGGCAGGAGAATTGCTTGAACCCAGAAGGCTGAGGTTGCGGTGAGCCTAGATCGCGCCATTGCACTCCAGCCTGGGTAACAAGAGCGAAACTCCGTCTCAAAAAAAAAAAAGAAAAAAAAATTTAGGTGGGCGTGGTGACGTGTGCCTGTAATCTCAGCTACTCGGGAGGCTAAGGCAGGAGAATCGCTTGAACCTGGGAGGCAGAAGGTCACAGTGAGCCAAGATTGCGCCACTGCACTCCAGCCTGGGCAACAGGAGCAAAACTCCGTCTCAAAAAAACAAAAAGTAGAGAGATCTATTCCTTTTCTTTTTAAGTGGATATCTCACTTGGTTGACTCTGATTTTTTTTTTTATTTGAAAGAGGTGTTGGTGTAAGCGGGAAGCCTCTTTTCATCTCCGAATTCCTCTTGCAGCCTGATGAAGTGCGACTTGCGAGCCTGTGACTGCAGACAAATCGCCTTGCTCATCACCAGCGGCTGCAGCCTGAGAAAACTGACCCTGTCCCACAACCCTCTGCATGACGATGGGGTGCACACACTGTGCGAAGCCCTGGTCCACCCCGACTGTACGCTCCGTTCGTTGGTGTGAGTCGGCTCGGACTGGCCTGAAAGTCCAAGCGTGTGATCAGAGAGTGGTGCTGGGGAAAGGGCAGCCACGCAAAGCAGCGGGGGGACGTGGGCTCTGGAGTTCGGCAGGTCTGGGTTCATACCGATTGGCGAAACGTTGGCAAAAACGTATCTGGATTTTTTTTTTTTTTTCCTACTCGTATTTCTCAATCTGGACAGTGGGGTCATGACGCTTTGGAAAGAGAGTTAAAAATGGTGGTCATGGCTGGGCACAGTGTCTCACGCCTGTAATCCCAGCACTTTGAGAGGCCGAGGTGGACGATCATGAGGTCAGGAGATTGAGACTATCCTGGCCAACATGGTGAAACCCCGTCTCTACTAAAAATACAAAATTTGGCTGGGCGTGGTAGAACGTGCCTGTAGTCCCAGCTACTCGGGAGGCTGAGGCAGGAGAATCCCTTGAACCAGGGAGTTGGAGGTTGCAGTGAACTGAGATCGTGCCATTGCACTCCAGCCTGGTGGCAGAGTGAAACTCCATCTTAAAAAAAAGAAAAAAAAAAACGATGTTCACAACATTCCAAACGCAGTGCCGAGGCCATAGCACCTGACTTTCTAAGAGCAGGGAACCTATATTATTCTCGTGTAGAGTGAGGTGGAACTCAGAGCACAAGGAAGAATGCAAAGGAAGGGTTTGCTGCTAGATGGCCTTGAAATAGGATTTTTTTTTTTCCTTAGTCTCCTTCTTTCAGGAAGGTAGAGGACGGGTTCTTCCTGTACCTACACCTCCTGTGGGGCACTCCAATGGAAGATCGTCTCTGCTCTAAGTTGCTGGAAAGGCCAGCTTTCAGGAGGTTGGGTTGTGGCAAACACAATGAGAGATGGCAAAACGTGTGGCAAACGTAGGGCATCAAGGTACAAAAACCCAGGGTGGGGGTCTATAAAACACTGTCAGGAAACAAGACAGAGTAAGGACGCGGTCCCCACCTAGACGGAGTAAGGACGCGGTCCCCACCTAGACGGAGTAAGGACGCGGTCCCCAGCGAGACGGAATAAGGACACGGTCCCCCGCCTGCAATTCCAATTTCCAAAAACATGGAAGAATGCAGCAGCTCATCTTCTTTTGTTCTGATTTTGTTTTCTTCTTTTTTACCCCTGTTTGAGGACTCGCTAGATTCCAAAACAATACAAACTGGTATTATATTCTTTATCTTTTTTTTTTTTTTTTGAGATGAGTTAACTCTTGTTATCCAGGCTGGAGTGCAATGGCGCGATCTCGGCTCACCGCAACCTCCGCCTCCTGGGTTCAAGCCGTTCTCCTGCCTCAGCCTCCCGAGTAGCTGGGATTACGGGCATGTGCCACCACGCCCAGCTAATTTTGTTTTTTTAGTGGAGACAGGGTTTCTACATGTTGGTCAGGGTGGTCTCAAGCTTCCAACCTCAAGCGATCCACCCGACTCGGCCTCCCAAAGCGTTGGGATTACAGGTGTGAGTCACCGCGCCCGGCTTCTTTATATATTTTCTTTTTTTGAGACGGAGTTTCACTGTTGTTACCCAGGCTGGAGTGCAATGGCGCGATCTCGGCTCACCACAACCTCCGCCTCCTGGGTTCAGGCAATTCTCCTGCCTCAGCCTCCCGAGTAGCTGGGATTACAGGCGTGTGCCACCATGCCCAGCTAATTTTTTGTATTTTTAGTAGAGACAGGATTTCACCATGTTGACCAGGATGGTCTCGATCTCTTGACCTCGTGGTCCACCCGCCTCGGCCTCCCAAAGTGCTGGGATTGCAGGTTTGAGCCACCGCACCCGGCCTGCAATAACTTAATTCAAAAGGAATGTCTACTATGAATAAGGTGGCTATGTCGTAGCTATTATAGTCACGCATTCTACACATAAAATTTAACCAAATAGACTTTATTAAACAATGGGGAAACCGAATTCTAGAAGTAGCTTCCATGAGATGATTCTGTTACTGGGAGTTGGATTTCCCTTAAGCCCTGTTCTGCATTATCCATTCCGTAACTCACCCTCTGTACTAGCTGGGGTCCTTTTAATCACCTTTTCCAAATAAGAAAGTCATTGGTGGAGATCTTGGCAATGGCAGCAGAAGGCATAGAGGCACCCGTGGACGTGGGGTGGGTGGTCTCGCGTGCCCCCCTCTGGCGCTCACACCGTTGCTGATTTGCTCTTCTTTCTGTGTGTGTGGCCCTGTGCAGGTTGGTCTTCTGCTGCCTCACTGCGGGTTGCTGCAACTTCCTTGGAAAAGCTTTTCTGCTCAGCCCAAGTCTCAGAGAAGTAGACCTGAGCGTGAATCACTTAAAGAATTATGGAGCATTGATTTTGCTATTTCCCTTGGTATTTTCCTGTCGTTTAGAGGAGCTGCAGTAAGTCTTCCCCCAGTTCTCCTGGTTGCCATGTTTCTACTGTGTAAGGGCTTGGGTGGTGGAGTTGGCGACAGAAATAAGACTCTAATGATGCCATCATGGGTGATCCAGGTACGGGAACCCGTGGTCCCGAAAACAGGTGGCATGAAAGCACGGTAGGGGAACCCGTGGTCCCCAAAAACAGGTGGCATGAAAGCACGGTAGGGGAACCCATGGTCCCCAAAAACAGGTGGCATGAAAACAAGGTAGGGGAACCCATGGTCCCCAAAAACAGGTGGCATGAAAGCACGGTAGGGGAACCTGTGGTCCCCAAAAACAGGTGGCATGAAAGCAAGGTACGGGAACCCGTGGTCCCCGAAAACAGGTGGCACGAAAGCATGGTACGGGAACCCGTGGTCCCCGAAAACAGGTGGCATGAAAACAAGGTATGGGAACCCGTGGTCCCCGAAAACAGGTGGCATGAAAGCCCGGTACGGGAACCCGTGGTCCCCAAAAACAGGTGGCATGAAAACAAGGTACGGGAACCCGTGGTCCCGAAAACAGGTGGCATGAAAACAAGGTATGGGAACCCGTGGTCCCCGAAAACAGGTGGCATGAAAGCCCGGTACGGGAACCCGTGGTCCCCAAAAACAGGTGGCATGAAAACACGGTAAGATTCGTTAGCGAAACCTTGTAGCTCAGAAAGAGCAGAGTTTACAAAATCCCTCAGATCCTTATCACACAGAGAAGGGTGCCTGGACCTGTCCCTGCCCCCAGGTGGACACAGCATGGGAAATGCCGCAGGAGAAAGGACCCAAATATCCTGCCCTGGCCCGGCTTACAGTTTCTGAGGCAGAGAACATCTTCTGGCGTGGGCAATCCTAGGGGCATGTTTTTGTCGGGAAATTGCTTTATTGGAAAAGGGATGCGTGGGGGGAGGTGGCCATATCCAAGCCACCGGTACCGGGAGAGACACCTAACTTAGGTGTGATGCAGCGGCCCCTGAATGAACCTCCGGGAGGAAATAGGTAACAAGCAGCCTTCTGAGTGTGCCTCATCAACGATGCCGAATAATCAGACTTCTTGTATTTTCTCAGAACTGATGAGTTCCCACTTACCTAAAAAAAAAAAAAAAAAATTGTTTAGGCCGGGCACGGTGGCTCATGCCTGTAATCCCAGCACTTTGGGAGGCCGAGACGGGGGGATCACGAGGTCAAGAGATCGAGACCATCCTGGTCAACATGGTGAAACCCCGTCTCTACTAAAAATACAAAAAATTAGCTGGGCATGGTGGCGCGTGCCTGTAATTCCAGCTACTCGGGAGGCTGAGGCAGGAGAATTGCCTGAACCCAGGAGGCGGAGGTTGCGGTGAGCCGAGATCGCGCCATTGCACTCCAGCCTGGGTAACAAGAGCGAAACTCCGTCTCAAAAAAAAAAAAAGAACCAGCATGAGGGTCAGGGTGGTGAGGCGCTGAAGTAGGATCGCAGGAGTGGACAATCAGGGAGTGCGAGTGGCAGGTCACGTGGGAGAGCGTGGCCAGCCATAAGTACTTTGCTTGCTTTGAGAGGAAGGGCCATTGGGTAAAATTCTCTTTACGAAAATGCATGTTGCTCTCTCAGTGTTGGATTTTGACATGAGAACTGAAAGGTAGAAACACGAATGTCAGAGGTGGTTGCCTAACATCATTCTTCCGGATTCACGCTCAGGATGGCAAAGGCGTAGGTTGGAAATCTGACTTCCTGGGACAAAAATGCTTAAAACATTCTGGCCTCAGCCTCCTCGTTTGTAAAACCAGGATGAGAGCCTTGTGATCGTTGCGAGTTTAACGTGCCCTGGGAGTTTTGAATAATGCCCTGGTGTGTTGTAAGTGACCTGCGGATGTTAACACTGCTCTTGGCTCTGTAAACGGAGGGGAGCACTAGACACCGGGGCCTACTGGGGGGAATACGGGACGGACAGCGGTAGGGGGGAGCTGGGGAGGGATAGCCTGGGGAGAAATGCCAGATGTGGGTGCAGGGGAGGAAGGCAGCAAATCACACAGCCACGTGTGTACCTATGCAACTATCTTGCATGTTCTGCACATGTACCCCAAAACCTAAAATGCAATTAAAATAAATAAATAAAAAGGAAAAAAAAAACAAAACAAGTCCTTTATTCACAGACATTACAAGCCAGGTCCAAGAACGCTTAACCCTCTGTGGTACGAATCCTTGGAGGCAGCCGGTCATGACCTCAGGTTCCCCCCTTTGCAGGCTGTTTGGCTGTTTCCTTACCCCCGAGATCTGTGAGCAAATCGCCGTAGTTCTTGCTGCTAACGGAAACCTGAAGAGCCTGGAGCTCGGAAGCAACCACGTGGGCGATACGGGCATGCAGCAGATATGTGACGCTTTGAAAGAGCCCTCCTGCAAGTTGGCGAATATTGGGTAGGTGCCAGGGGAGAGAGCTCCCTGTTTCCTGCGAGGAAAAGCTGAAGGAAAGCACGAGAGGAAGTGGATCTGGAAATAACTCGGACATCACGGTTATTTCCTTTAAGAAAATAAGGCAGGTAGAAGCGGAATGCTGGATGTCACCACGCATGTCTACACATGTGGACGGTATGAATGGAAACTGGTAGGCAGCTTCTGAATGTGACTGTGCCAGTCACACCCTGGTATCATTGTCTCCTTGAGTGTAGGCAAGACCTGTGATTTGCTTCCCTTTTTTTTTTTTTTAGATGTTCTCACTCTGTCACCCAGGCTGGAGTGCAGTGGCACAATCTTGGCTCACGGCAAACTCGGCCTCCAGGGTTCAAGCAATTCTCCTGCCTCAGCTTCCCGAGTAGCTGGGACTACAGGCGTGCACCACCGCGCCCGGCTAACTTTTGTGTTTTCAGTAGAGATGGGTTTTTACCAGGTCCATCTAGGAAAGATGGCTCTACTGTGTAGTAAGTTCTTTGGCCCAAAACTTGTCCAGCACTTTGGGAGGCCGAGGCGGGTGGATCACGAGGTCAAGAGATCGAGACCATCCTGGTCAACATGGTGAAACCCCGTCTCTACTAAAAATACAAAAATTAGCTGGACATGGTAGCACGTGCCTGTAATCCCAGCTACTCGGGAGGCTGAGGCAGGGGAATTGCCTGAACCCAGGAGGCGGAGGTTGCGGTGAGCCGAGATCGCGCCATTGCACTCCAGCCTGGGTAACAAGAGCGAAACTCCGTCTCAAAAAAAAAACTTGTAAGGGAGGGTTCTAGTAGACATCCACCTCTCACCCGTCTCATCTGTCATCTTTCCTCGAGGACTTGGCCCCATCTTACCTGTGCCTCTTTGTCACAGGCTAGAGGAGTGCATGTTAACCACTGCCTGCTGTGATGCTCTTGCCTCTGTTTTCGCCACCAACACAACACTAAAAAGACTCAATGTGCTTCAAAATAGCTTCAGCAATGAAGGAATTGTGAAACTTCTGGAGAGCTTGATGCACCCAAATTGTACACTAGAGATAGTTGGGTAAGTTGCTTATTTTCCTTGGCGATGGGGAAAATTCTGTGTGGAGATGGTCTCGGACCTATGAGAGAATGAGAAGCCCTCTTGCCAGTTTCAAATACCAAAAAAAAATGTGTTTCCTCTTGGGAGATGGAAAACGGATGCCTAGTTCTTAAAGCAGAGTCTGTCCTCAGTGGTGAGTAAAAGGTGACGATTGATGCTATACTTGACATAGAAAAAAAGGGTTCTATGTTTGAATATTTTCTTTCCTCCGTTTGGATGGGCCCCTCATTACAAGAGAAGAAAAATGGGGGCCGGGCGCGGTGGCTCACGCCTGTAATCCCAGCACTGTGGGAGGCCGAGGTGGGGGGATCACGAAGTCAAGAGATCGAGACCATCCTGGTCAACATGGTGAGACCCCGTCTCTACTAAAAATACAAAAAATTAGCTGGGCATGGTGGCGCGTGCCTGTAGTCACAGCTACTCGGGAGGCTGAGGCAGGAGAATTGCCTGAACCCAGGAGGCGGAGGTTGTGGTGAGCCAAGATCGCGCCATTGCACTCCAGCCTGGGTAACAAGAGCGAAACTCCATCTCAAAAAAAAAAACAAAAAACAAAAACTTGAAGATAAAACTAGGTAAGCTGGGTGCGGTGGCTCAAGCCTGTAATCACAGCACTTTGGGAGGCCGAGGTGGGGGGATCACGAGGTCAAGAGATCGAGACCACCCTGGTCAACATGGTGAAACCCCATCTCTACTAAAAATACAAAAATTAGCTGGGCATGGTGGCGCGTGCCTGTATTCCCAGCTACTGGGGAGGCTGAGGCAGGAGAATTGCCTGAACCCAGGAGGCGGAGGTTGCGGTGAGCCGAGATCACGCCATTGCACTCCAGCCTGGGTAACAAGAGCGAAACTCCATCTCAAAAAAAAAAAAAAAAAGGGCAGTTCTCACTGTGCTATTTCCTGTTTCCAAATCCATTAAATTCCTCTCATAAAGCAAAGTTTCTCTTCCTTTCCGTGTATGTTCCCACCGACTGGGGGATTAAATGACACATTACCCCACAGTCTCTGAGTGTCAGGGCTCCAGTCCCAGCTTTGGTCGTCCTCAGGATCTCTGATGAGGCTGCAGCCAAGATGTCATCCAAGGCTAGGGCCAAATCTGAAGGTTCCTCTGGGAAGGAAAAATCAGTCTTCTTCTCAGATCATGTGGTCGTTGGCAGAACTCGGTTCCTGCAGGGCTATCGGGCTAAGAGTCTCAGTACCTTGACAGCTGATGGCTGGAAGAGACCCTCAGTTATCAGCAATGATGCACTGAAAAGACTAGCTTTTTTTTTTGAGACGGAGTTTCGCTCTCGTTACCCAGGCTGGAGTGCAATGGCGCAATCTCGGCTCACCAAAACCTCCGCCTCCTGGGTTCAGGCAATTCTCCTGCCTCAGCCTCCTGAGTAGCTGGGATTACAGGCACGCGCCACCACGCCCAGCTAATTTTTTGTATTTTTAGTAGAGACGGGGTTTCACCATGTTGATCAGGATGGTCTCGATCTCTTGACCTCGTGATCCACCCGCCTCGGCCTCCCAAAGTGCTGGGATTACAGGCTTGAGCCACCGCGCCCGGCCTACATTCTAATACTTTATAGAGAAATCTCTATCTCGGGGTTTTTAGTCTCGAGCAGATTTTCGTTTCCTCAGAGATGGCTTGAGATACTCCCAAGGATGCCCGAAGGACGCCATATGGGGCATTAGTCATTGATGCAACCAACTGAGCACGTGGCATCAATGGAGTCCTCCCTCTGTTTTCCTCCAGGCTTCCGTTAAGCGGCGTGAGCACAGAAACCCAGCAGTTGCTGAGGACCGTAAAGGAAAGAAAACCCGAGTTGATCTTTCTGTCCGAAACTTGGTCTGCAAAAGAAGGCAGAGAAATCGGTGTGAGGCCGTCTTCTCGGCTGAGTTCAGAAATACCTCATTGTAATTTACAGAACATGTTTTCTGAATTTTCTCCAACCCTGTAGAGGCACATGCAGCATCCAGGCACCTGGTTCTGTCATGTTCTACATAAACCACATTCGTTATAAATGACTACCACGACTGGAATGCAGGAGAATTGGGGTTATGACTTTCCCGTTTTCTGTGTGTGTGACCTTGATCCAGTCAACCACTCTCTTCTGAAAATTCCAGCACTCTCAGGAGTATTAAAAGGTTTGTGTGACATAATAAAAGTTTAAAATGCATTGGAAAAAGGGGTGAAGCATGATTCTTTTATCGGCAGGCATTTATTTTCATGGTTTGTTTGTTGCCTGCTTTTGTTGTGCTCTTCTGTTTTTGTTCGGTCTAGGGAGCGTTGTTAGAAGGTATCCCTGGGCACCCCTCCTTTCCCCAACCCTTCTCTACTTGGCTGCTGTTTTAAAGTTTGCCCTTCCCCAAATTTGGATTTTTATTACAGATCTAAAGCTCTTTCAATTTTATACTGATTAAATCAGTACTGCAGTATTTGATTAAAAAAAAAAAAGGAAGGTATCCCTGGGAATCCTGTGACATGAAATCTTTATTTAGCACCTAAAGACCCTAAAACCCGCCCCAACTTGAGTAGGTACCCCTCAGCTTTGGAGGCCTGCTAGATAAAGCAACCAGCTGCTGAGCAATGAGGCATTGTAAATAAAGCGTCAGGGCTAGAAACATGATCAAAGGATCCCCAGTGTGAACCCCAGCGTGGCCGGCGTCGATGAGATTTCTTATTCTTGCCAGTGTCTGATGAACCTGAGTTTAAGCACCTGGAGGCGAGCGGCTTCCTCGTGGGACACGCTTGGAGGAAGCTGGAAAGTGCTCCCCTGCGTTTCGGATTCCGGCCCAGCAGAGGGCGCCGGAGAGCGGGCGGGGCCGTGGGAAGCCGCTGGGATCCCGGGCGCGCTCGAGCTCCTCGTGGGCAGAGCACGGACTGTCCTCTCCACGCTCTTCCTGCAGCGTCCTGGCTCACCCGGCCCCCGCGGGGTGGCGCGTCCTCCCCGTTTAGACACCTGCAGTCACTGTCGCAGCTGAGCTGCATCCCCCTGAAAGCCGTCTGTTGAAGCCCAGCCCCCCGAACCCCAGAATTCAGGTATCACTTTTTTTCTTTCTTTTTTTTTTTTTTGATTCGGAGTTTCGCTCTTGTCACCCAGGCTGGAGTGCAATGGCGCGATCTCGGCTCACTGCAATCTCGGCCTCCTGGGTTCAGGTAATTCTCCTGCCTCAGCCTCCTGAGTAGCTGGGATTACAGGTGCACACCACCATGCCCAGCTAATTTTTTGTATCTTTAGTAGAGACGGGGTTTCACCAAGTTGACCAGGATGGTCTCGATCTCGTGACCTCGTGATCCACCCGCCTCGGCCTCCCAAACTGCTGGGATTACAGGCGTGAGCCACCGCACCCGGCCACTTTCTTAACATTTATTATATTTAGGGTTTTTTATCTCTAGGATCAGAAGGTTGATTTAAAAAAAAAAAAAATTGGGGTTATTTTAGCCACATTTCATCCGTTTCTTTCACTGTCCCTGTTCCTCTCTCTACTCCTTCCTGGGCTGCAGTTAAATGCATGTTGTGATGCTTGAGGTGTTGGGCCATCCTCACATTGCTGTAAGGACCTGCCTGAAACTGGAGAGTTGATGAAGAAAAGAGGTTTCATTGACTCACAGTTCTGTAGGCTGTACGGGAAGCATCAGTGGGAGGCCTCAGGTAATTTACACCCATGGCAGACGGGGAAGGGGAAGCTTGCTTTTCACATGGCAGCAGGAGAGACAGTGAGTGGGAACGTGCCACGCACTTTTGAGCCATTCGATCTCTTGAGAACTCATGCATTATGAAAACAGCATGGGGAAAAATCCACTTCTGTGATCCAACCGTTTCCCACTGAGTCCCTCCCCCAAAACTGGGGATTACAATTAAACATGAGATTTGAGTGGGGGAAACGGAACCAAACTACATTAATCTGCAAATGGCTTCTCCCAAATCTCATGTCCTTCTCGCATTTCAAAACCAATTATGCCTTCCCAACAGTCCCCCAAAGTCTTAACTCATTTCATCACTGACCCAAACGTCCAGGTCCAAAGTCTCATCCGAGACAAGTCCCTTCTGCCTATGAGCCTTTAAAATTAAAAAAAAAAAAACAATTTATTACTTTTAAGGTAAAATGTGGGTACAGACATTGGGTTAATGTGCCTCTTCCAAATAAGAGAAATTGGCCAAAACAAAGGGGCTTGGGCCCCATGCACGTCTGAAACCCCACAGGGCAGTCATTAAGTCTTAGAATTCCAAAGTGTTTTCCTCTGACTTTGTCTCACATCCAGGGCCTGCTGGTGCAAAGGGTGGGCTCCCAAGGCCTTGGGCAGCTCCTCTCCTGTGGCTCTGCAGGCTACGGCCCCTCAGGTTGCTTTCACAAGCTGGGGTTGAGGGCCTGTGGCTTCTTCAGGTGCGTGGTGAATGAAAGCTGTCACGGGATCTACCATTCTGGGGTCTGGAGGACAGTGGCCCTTCTCTCACAGCTCCACAAGGCAGTGCCCCAGTGGGGACGCTGTGTGGGGTTCCAATCCCACATTTACCCTCTGCACACCTTTCACAGAGGTTCTTCATGAGGGTTCCGCCCTGGAAGCAGACTTCTGCTTGCACATTCAGGCATTTCCATATATCCTCTGAAATCTAGGGGCAGGTTCCGAAACCTCACCTCTTGCCTTCTGTGCACCTGCAGGCCTAGTCACATGGAAGCTGCCAAGGCTTGGGGCTTGGATCCGCTGAAGCAATGGCCCGAGCTGTGCCTTGGCTCCTTTCAGTCACGGCTGGAGTGGCTGGGATGCAGGGCGCCATGTCCCAGGGCTTCACAGAGCTTCGGGGCCCTGGGCCTGGCCTACAAAACCATTTTTCCTCCTAGGCCTCTGGGTCTGTGATGGGAGGGGCTGGCACGAGGAACTCTAAAATGCTCTGGAGGCGTGTCCCGCTTGTCTTAGCCATTAATATTTGGCTTCTCTTTACCTATTCATTTTTGCAGTGGACTTGGATTTCTTTCTGGAAAATGAGCTTTTCTTTTCTACCCATGGTCAAGCTGCAAAGTTTCCAAACTTTTATGCTCTGCTTTCCTTTTAAATATAAGTTCCGCCAGGCACGGTGGCTCAAGCCTGTCATCCCAGCACTTTGGGAGGCCGAGGTGGGTGGATCACGAGGTCAAGAGATCGAGACCATCCTGGTCAACATGGTGAAACCCCGTCTCTACTAAAAATACAAAAATTAGCTGGGCATGGTGGTGCGTGCCTGTAATCCCAGCTACTCGGGAGGCTGAGGCAGGAGAATTGCCTGAACCCAGGAGGCAGAGGTTGCGGTGAGCCAAGATCGCGCCATTGCACTCCAGCCTGGGTAACAAGAGCAAAATTCCGTCTCAAAAAAAAAAAAAAAATTGATCAGGGTTTATTTAAACGATTCATGGATTTCTTCCCATTACTGATTTCTAACTTAACTCTGTTGCCAATAGAGAATGGGATGTATATCATTCTCAGCAAACTGACACAAGAACAGAAAATGAAATACCACATATCCTCGCTCCTAGGCGGGTGATGAAAAAAGAGAACACATGGACACAGGGAAGGGAGCACTACACACTGGGGTCTACTGGGGGAAGAGGGGAGGGACAGTGGGGGGGGAAGGAGGGAGGGATAGCCTGGGGAGAAATGCCAAATGTGGGTGAAGGGGAAGACGGCAGCAAAACACACTGCCACGTGTGTACCTATGCAACTATCTTGCATGATCTGCACATGTACCCCAAAACCTACAATGCAATAAAAAAAAGAGAATGGAATGTATATTATTTCAATTTTAATATTAATGAGTTTTGTCTATGACCCCACATATCTACTCTAGCAAATAGTCAGTGTACACTTGAATGTCAGCTGTGGGGTTAGACTGAATACCTAGACATATATGTATAACTTTACTATATCCAAGTACGTTCTCGGCATTTGAAAAGTAAATTTCTCTGTGGGCTCACATTCGAATTATAATTTGGTTCATAACTTCCGTAACGCATAGTGCATCGATCATGCAGAAAACGGAAAAGAATGACAAATGAATCTGAAATTTCAAAATATTTATTGAACAAAAGAATAAACATAAGCCCCAAAGAAAATATGACAAACTTTATACGTAAAATGTCATTTTCCCCTAATTAATATCATTGCTTTCTGTCCGCGGTTTACAAAATGACTGGTGTTTCCCTTCTATCCCTCTGTACCCATGTGTATCTAGCAGAAACGTTTTTAACTCTGGCTACAGGCACACAGAATCCCGCTATCGATGATTATGTTCCAATGTTTATTTCCTTTCCTCAGAATAAACTGGGGGACTGGCACTGTCTGGATTGATCCCAGGACAGATACTCAGGAAGCTCTGATCATCTTGAGTTTCACGTTTATGAGAAAAAAATGGACGCAGAGGCTCGATAACAGGAAGGTCGTTGAACGTGTAGATATGGCACCCACCATCACTAACATTATAAAAGGAGATGGACCTCATGCCTACATCCAGGTAAATGCCCACTGTGCGCAACTGGGGACTCACCCAGAGAAAAGTCAAAGGCATCGTGCTGGCGGCAAAGATCGGCCCCGTCCTGCAGCCCACGGTCCAGAAGCCAAGTCCTGAAGAAAGCACGACGTCCCCCTGTCGATTCACAGATTCCTTACAAATGCCCACATCCCATATTTTGCTGGTGCCCACATCCACCTCCCAGTAATAGCGGCCGGAGGTGAAGCGGGATGTGCCCAGGACGCACAGTGAGGAGCTGAACCTTTCCGCCTGCTCTTTCCTGTTGTGTCTGACATGCCCACATCGGAGGCTCCTCAGGTCTTCAGAAATGGTCAGACAGTTGCTGGCTGTGTCCACATCCAAGGTCATATCCACTGTGCAAAGAAGAACCGGTAGTTCAGCAAAGACACGCACTGCAGGCTCCCTCTGCCCCTTTACTGCGGACACCTAAATATATTGCTCACTTTCACTCTCCTTTCCCAAATCAAAATTGTCCTGTTGAGCTGCCTGATGAGGTCAAATTTTATGTATAGAATGCGTGAATATAATAGCTACGACATAGCCACCTTATTCATAGTAGAGATTCCTTTTGAATTAAGTTATTGCAGGCCGGGTGCGGTGGCTCACGCCTGTAATCCCAGCACTTTGAGAGGCCGAGGCAGGTGGATCACGAAGTCAAGAGATCGAGACCATCCTGGTCAACATGGTGAAACCCCGTCTCTACTAAAAATACAAAAAAATTAGCTGGGCACGGTGGCGCGTGCCTGTAATCCCAGCTACTCGGGAGGCTGAGGCAGGAGAATTGCCTGAACCCAGGAGGTGGAGGTTGCGGTGACCCGAGATTGCGCCATTGCACTCCAGCCTGGGTAACAAGCGTGAAACTCCATCTCAAAAAAATAAAAAGTTCTTGCATAATTTGATAAGCATTTTTTCCATTGACTACGTAAGATACATGAAGGGAAAGACTGTAGCTAGCTCTCCAAATGACTGTGTAAACTTGCAGGTTCCATGAAAATCTATACCCAAAGGTGATGTTCTGAACGGCTGTTTGTGAAGCATGAAAGTTGTAGATGGCAGATTTCTGCTAACGCCCGTATTTAAACAAGTGTTTGAAAGTTGTTTTCCCAGTGCTTTCTCTTTTTATTGAGACGGAGTTTCACTCTTGTTACCCAGGCTGGAGTGCAATGGCACGATCTCGGCTCACCGCAACCTCCGCCTCCTGGGTTCAGGCAATTCTCCTGCCTCAGCCTCCTGAGTAGCTGGGATTACAGGCACGAACCACCGTGCCCAGCTAATTTTTTGTATTTTTAGTAGAGACAGGGTTTCACCATGTTGACCAGGATGGTCTCGATCTCTTGAGCTTGTGATCCACCCACCTCGGCCTCCCAAAGTGCTGGGATTACAGGCGTGAGCCACCGCGCCAGGCCCCCCAGTGCTTTCTGTGGGCTGTGGAAGGTCATATAGATTCCTCACCTTGAAACTTCTTCATCCTTGGGTTCATCGTTAGAATAGATTTCAGCTTGGGCTCTAGTTCCTTGATGATGGAAATCAGTGCCCTCAGCTTGTACTTGGGCTTGATGTCTTTCTTCTGAGACGCCACAGTGCATAAGGGGCACAGTACGCCTTCCCCATGGGGCTCCTTCTGCAGTGAATGGACACACTGCAGGCAGCAGGCGTATCCACATTTCAGCTGCACGGCTTCTTCAAGATCATTGAGACACACAGGACATCTAATTACTTGTTTGAAGTGTTCAGCCATGGCAAATGTCTATAGGAAAAAAATGAGCATGGTATTAGAATTTCCACGAGCTGAATGAACAGCTGATAGTGCTTGGGACCTTTACTGTTTACATGCAGAGAGTTATCAAGTATGATACTTACAATCACTACTACTAGTGACGAAGAACAAATAAATACAAATGTAAATGACTTAAGGCCCTGAGCTTCTGATATCTGTAATAGTCATGGAAACAGGGAGCCGCGGTGGCTCCGGCCAGTTGTCCTGGTGCTTGAGGAGGTGAGGCCATGAGTTCAAGGCCAACCTGAGCAACATAACAAGCTCTCATTGATTAACAACAACAACAAAACTGGGGGACCAGGTGCGGTGGCTCACGCCTATAATCCCAGCACTTTGGGAGGCCGAGGCGGGTGGATCACGAGGTCAAGAGATCGAGACCATCCTGGTCAACATGGTGAAACCTCGTCTCTACTAAAAATACAAAAAATCAGCTGGGCATGGTGGCGCGTGCCTGTAATCCCAGCTACTCAGGAGGCTGAGGCAGGAGAATTGCCTGAACCCAGGAGGCGGAGGTTGCGGGGAGCCGAGATCACGCCATTGCACTCCAGCCTGGGTAACAAGACCTAAACTCTGTCTCAAAAAAAAAAAAAAAGTCATTGAAACAAAGGGCTTGATTCACTGAAAGACTTTGAGTTGAAATGGTAAAGGGGTCTCCACCTGAGCCGTTTGATATGGTAGCATCTGAAATGGGGCTCATCCACATGGAGATGTGCTGTGAGCAAAAACACTTTTATTTTTGAAGACAGAGAGAATGAGAGACATTGAGAAAAAGAGAATGCGAACTGTCTGCCTGAGAAACTGCTCACATGTTGAAATGGTTACATTTTGAGTAAATTTAATTTGAGTCGTGAATTTTACATTAGGCTTGTTTTATTATACTCTATGTGACTACCAAAAAATAAATTTCCAATTACATATGTGGGTTGTATTGTGTTTCTGTTGGACAGAAGACCTTCGACATCCCCAGCGGTGCAAACTGGATGTGGTAAAAAAGCCCAACAGCACACACACCATGAGGACAAGACACAAAATACAGATAACTAAGTGGTACTAGGTAAAACTCAATCTTCTGCATAGGAAAAAAAAAAGCAACTGTATATATATATGACAATGGATTAACATCCAAAATATATAAAGAATTTTTTCAAGGTAATAGCAAAAAGAAAAAACCTCAACTAATCTCATCTTTTTTTTTTTTTTTTTTTTTTTTGAGACAAGAGTTTAGCTGTTGTTACCCAGGCTGGAGTGCAATGGCGCAATCTCGGCTCACCGCAACCTCCGCCTCCTGGGTTCAAGCAATTCTCCTGCCTCAGCCTCCTGAGTAGCTGGGACTACAGGCACGCGCCACCGTGCCCAGCTAATTTTTTGTATTTTTAGTAGAGAGGGGGGTTTCACCATGTTGACCAGGATGGTCTCGATCTCTTGACCTCGTGATCCACCCGCCTCAGCCTCCCAAAGTGCTGGGATTACGGGCACGTGCCACCGTGCCCAGCTAATTTTTTGTATTTTTAGTAGAGAGGGGGTTTTACCATGTTGACCAGGATGGTCTCGATCTCTTGACCTCGAGATCCACCCGCCTCATCCTCCCAAAGTGCTGGGATTACAGGCGTGAGCCACCGCGCCCGGCCATAATCTCATTTTCAATGGGCAAAAACCTGAATAGACATTTCTCTGAAGAACACATGCAAATGAGCAACGAGTACTGAAGAACATGCTCCCCTTCACTCACCATCAGAGAAATGCAGAGCAGAACTGAGACAGGAAGACCGGGTGGTCACAGGAGAATCGAGAACATATCAAGTGACAATTTCACATAGCAGCAAAACGGTGGCTGTTAAAATGAGCCACTTGTAATTAAAATTACAAGGACAAGGTGGACCCTGGGCTGATAAAGTGCTAAAAAACAGGAGGGAATTAAGCTGGCTGAAACCATTACCACACTAATTACCACACTAATTACTAATTTAGCGTGGTGATTACCACACTAATTCACACACCTTCCAGTGCCATGGCCAACCCCAGCATGCCCATATTTAGTATATAAAAATGGGCCGGGCGCGGTGGCTCAAGCCTGTAATCCCAGCACTTTGGGAGGCCGAGGCGGGTGGATCAAGAGGTCAGGAGTTCGAGACCATCCTGGTCAACATGGTGAAACCCCGTCTCTACTAAAAATACAAAAATTAGCTGGGCACAGTGGCGCGTGCCTGTAATCCCAGCTACTCAGGAGGCTGAGGCAGGAGAATTGCTTGAACCCAGGAGGCGGAGGTTGCAGTGAGCCGAGATCACGCCATTGCACTCCAGCCTGGGTAACAAGAGCGAAACTCTGTCTCAAAAAACAATAATAAAATAATCAAGCTTTCCTGTTATACTGATTGATATTGACTCCATACGGTCATCTTCATAGAAGAAGAATAATTATGGTCATCTTCATAGCAGACCTTTAGCCTTACAAAGAGTGCCAGAGAACAGTAGGAAAAACTCTGCACCGTGCACAACATGCTGACGCTCTGTGAGAATCTTGCAGAATACTTCATTTTTGACTCAAAGACAGTGAGCACGGAAGAGTTCTTTGGCGATCTCAACAACTTCCCAACTTTGTTTTTGGAAGCGGTGAGAGAAAACAGTAAGAGAAGAGAAATGGAAGAGAAGACGGGAAGGCAAAACTTGCAAAAGAGAAAGCTGAGCAAGAAAAGTTAGAACGTCAGAAGAAAAAGAAGCAACGCGTTGGTATCAACAGAGAGGGCGATGAGGCTGGTGTGGCGGCTAATCTTCTAGAAGCCCCACAATCAGGTGCAGCATTCGGAGACCGAAAGCAGATTCCAAGGAATCCAGTCGTCAATCATCCCTGTGCAACGAGGGCGAATCCAAGATCAGCCACATACACGGCCTGAGTGCTGTTCTAAACAGGTGATGGTACTCGTGACTTTTAAGATAATCAAATAGTAAAAGTTTCTAGTGGAAACATAAAAAAAAAAAAAAATAGCACTGCGTGCGTTCCAGCCATCCTCCTTCTGTGTTTATACATGAAAGAAATGAGGTCAGCATGGCGGAGACACGCCCGTACTCAGGCTCACAGCAGCCGTGGAAACAGCCCCAGCGTCTGTGGGAGAAAAACGGTTACAGAAATGATGCTATATACAATGAGGTTTTCAACCGTAAAAAAAAAAAAAAGAAGGAAGTCCTGGCATTTGCACTAACGTGGATGAAGGCTGAGGGCATGAGGTGGAAAGCAGGGAGGCCAAGCAAAATGAATCATTATGATCTCAGTTATGCGGAATGTGAGTTGACTGATCTCGTGGAATCAGAAAATCACAGGAAATGGTGGTTGGCAGGGTTTGTGGGAAGAGGGGAGCAGGAAACCCGAGAAAACCCGTAGGAAGACCTGACCGTGCATAACCCAGCCAACCCAACCTCTGTCCATCGTTTGCATAAGTCTGCCAACTTCTGATGAAATTCAACAAAATGAAGACTGGCATTGGTCTAGCCTTGGTATTGAGACTCTGAGGCTTACCCAACTGCTCCCGGGGCGGTGGTCCCACTATCCCCCAAAACCACGGTGTGTCTGGGATGGAGTCGGCCTCAGACAACACCTGTAGAGTCAACAAGTTATTGCATTCCCCCGACTCTCCTACACGCTTCGTAAAAATGAATTTCGTCCAACTGAACTCACCTTCCTTCCCGAGTTTCCTCCCCTGGCCTCCAGCTGCTCCTGCTGATGGCTCGGGTCTGCAGTGACAGCTGCCAGGGGCTTTTGAGGAGAGAGTCTCTCCACCCAGTGAGCCACACCCTTCCCCACCTCTTTAATCAGATTTTGAGTGAATTCCGGTGTCTGTGAGATGCTTACTATCGGCATAGGTTTTTACCGTAAAGGAAGATGACTGTGTTTTCAGAGTTCTGTTGTTTAATTAACAAGGATAAAGTGTTGTCATATAATCGTTTTAGGGAAGATCGTAAAGATTATGCCCACTGATAAAATTTGGAAAATTAATTAAAATTAACTAAATTTTGAAAAATTCGGTTGACATTTAAAATTCCTCTAAAGTCAATGGTGCTACCTTCAAATCGTTTTTTTTTTTTTTTTCAATTATAAATGTAACATCTTTTCACATTTCAATAACAGAGGTGCGTTAAACCTACTCAGAAGTTAGGACACTCCACAGACCGTGCTCCACTCTTGAAAACATTTTCTCTATACTGTAAAGATTCTAATTAAGAAGCTTAGAAGGGCGGGCGCGGTGGCTCACGCCTGTGATCCCAGCACTTTGGGAGGCCGAGGCGGGTGGATCCCGAGGTCAAGAGATCGAGACCATCCTGGTCAACATGGTGAAACCCCGTCTCTACTAAAAATACAAAAAATTAGCTGGGCATGGTGGTGAGCGCCTGTAGTCCCAGCTACTCAGGAGGCTGAGGCAGGAGAATTGCCTGAACCCAGGAGGCAGAGGTTGCGGTGAGCCGAGATCGTGCCATTGCACTCCAGCCTGGGTAACAAGAGCGAAACTTCGTCTCAAAAAAAAAAAAGAAAAATTCACTAGAGAGGTTCAACAGAAGTTTTCCAATTTTTTTTGTAATCCCAGCGCTTTGGGAGGCTGAGGTAGGAGAATCACTTGAGGTCAGGAGTTCAACACCAACCTGGCCAACAGAGAGAAACCCATCACTACTAAATATACAAAAATTAGCCCATCATGGTGGCACACACACTAGAGTTTTAACTTGTATTTCTCTAACGATTAGTGATTTTGAGCATTTAAAGGTATCTGTTGGCCCTTTGTGTGTCTGCTGTTGATGTCTATTCAGGTCACATGTCCGTTTTTTATCTGGTTGTCTGTGTTCTCAATTTTGAGGTGCATTTCTTTCACATTTTGGATGGGAGCCCTTTGTGAGATGCATGGTTGGGAAATATTTTCTCTTACTTCTTGTGTTATCTGTTCGCTCTGTGAATTGTTTCCTCTGCAGAGGCATTT